TTGGAGATCAGGATTGGGATTGAAGTGATGGGGATTGATTCCATGTTGTGCTGGAATTCTGATTGGATTGATCGGGATTGTGATTGGATTGATCGGGATTGGTTCYRTGTTATTGTGCTGGAATTCCGACTGGATTGATCAGTATTGTGACTGGATTCAGTTTGAATTGATCAGGTTGATTCCATATCATTGTGCTGGAATTCTGATTGGAAATCCACAAAAAATCCACAAAAAATCCACAAAAATCCACACAAAAATGTCCAGAAAATTCTGGAAATCAGAATTGATTTGATTCAGATTGGATTGATCAGGATTGTGATTGGATTGATTCCACATTACTGTGGAGGCATTCTGATTGGGAATTAGAATTGATTGGATTCAGACTGGATTATACAGGATTGATTCCATRCTATCRTGCTGGAATTTCARTTGGAGATCAGGAYTGAYTGGATTCAGATTGGATTGATCAGGATTCCATATTATTGTGCTGGAATTGTGGTTGGAGATCAGGATTGTAATTGGATTCAGACGGGATTGATCCGGACTCATTCCATATCATTGTGCTGGAATTGCGATTGGAGATGGATTGATCAGGATTGATTCCAYGTTATTGTTCTGGAATTCTGAYTGGAGATCAGGATTCAGATTGGATTGATCAGGATTGATTCCATGGTGTTGTGCTGGAATTCCGGTTTGCGATCAGAATTCCAATCCTGAGGAAACCCCCGAGTTCCCCCACCCAATCGTTTGTTTGTGCCATGGCTGGAGCTGGGATTGGGGAGGTGAGGGTGGGGCTGGGGTGGAGATGGGATTGGGATGGAGATGGGATGGGGAGGTGAGGCTGGAGCTGAGATGGGGTTGGGCTGGGGCTGGGATTGGGATGGTGAGGATGGAGCTGGGATGGAGTTGGGATGGAGCCGGGATAGAGCTGGGATAGAGCTTGGGATAGTGAGGATGGAGCTGGGATAGAGCTGGGATGGAGCTGAGATGGAGCCGGGAGCTGTTCAGAGCTGGGACGGAGCTGGGGTTAGGATGGAGATGGAATTGGGGAGGTGAGGATGGAGCCAGGATGGAGCTGGAATGGAGCTGGGATAGAGCTGGGATGGAACTGGGATGGGGCTAGGATGGAGATGGGATTGGGATGGTGATGATGGAGCTGTTCAGATCTGGGATGGAGCTGTTCAGAGCTGTTCAGAGCCAGGATTGAGCTGAGATGGGGCTGAGATGGAGCCGGGAGCTGTTCAGACCTCCATGTATTCTGTGTTCGTTGGCACCGCGGCGGCTCCATGGAATTTCCACAGAATTTCCCATGTTCCAACCCAGTGGCCTCGCTCTAAACCCTCCACTCACAYTCCCCTGTCCTTCCTCCCTCGTTCCACACTCCGATTTCCCCCGGGATCGCCGCCCGCCTTTCCGGGGATCCATTCCCTTTCCCCGGTGCTGGAGGGCACCTCGGAGCCAACAGGCTCTTCATCGGTGTCACTTTACACAACAAAAAAAACCCCAAAAACCTATTCCAGAGGTATTTCATAGYGAAATTGAGGGAAAACTCTGTCCCGAGCTGGCATTTCGTAGCAAACACCTGGCTG